AAACTAATCTCAAATTTAGTGAACTTTGTTTTAATTGGTAAAATTCCATTCTAATCTTAATCTCAATCTTTAGTCTGATACGGGCTTGAGAGCGGTCATGCCTGCGATTTAGCTGGGACCGGCGATATGCTGGTTTCAGCGCCTCTGGAAAGTGGACATTGAACTACTAACTAGATAGACCAATGAGAAGCACGCTTCCGTCCAACGCGTGCTTCTCATTGGTCTCTCTAGTTAGTAGTTCAATGTCCACTTTACAGAGGCGCTGAAACCAGTTCAATCGTATAGCGTTTTTCACTGGTAAGAACTGAGTGCGCACCGAAACTGCACGAGTGCGCAGCGGCACGGCACGAGGTTTCTGAAAGTGCGAGTTTCTTATACTCCCAGCTAAACACTCTACGCCGATCGAGTGTCACAATTTTCTGGTATCTGTGTCTTTTTTCAAACATATGATCTTCTTGTTAATATGGAAGTAAAATTTAAGGTTAATAACAAATTGATAACGTTAGAACTGCAAGCAAATTATATTATTATAACTGTAATACATAATTTTCGTACATATTATTTCTCTATTTTACATAAATAGAATCTATTAATAATATAATTATATTTATAGAATATATATGTATTAATTTCTTTACATAATTATATAACAATCTGATGACATGTATTGAACAATGAGAACATATACTTATAACCTCTTTATCTGTAAGATTATGTACCACGTCAACAAAGTTTTCGATTTTTGGAATTTTCCGTGTTTTTTCGTTCCAAAATTCATCTTCATCACTACTAGATGACGATGATGATAGCACTTCTAGCAGTTGAAGTGCTAATCGAGTTTTGAAACTGGTATCAATTTGCCGGGCAGCCATATTGCACTAGACCGACACCGTCGCTTGGAGCTCGTGCCGAGTTTCTGCACGAAAATGCAAAAACTCGACACCAAGTTTTCCAGTGAAACAGCGCGCACCGTCTCCGTGCGCACCGAAAAGCCCAGTGAA